AAGTGGTGGTGTTGTACCAGTGGTGTTGTTGTACCATTGGTGTTGTTGTACCAGTGGTGTTGTTGTACCAGTGGTGGTGTTGTACCAGTGGTGTTGTACCAGTGGTGTTGTTGTACCAGTGGTGTTGTTGTACCAGTGGTGGTGTTGTACCAGTGGTGTTGTACCAGTGGTGTTGTTGTACCAGTGGTGTTGTTGTACCAGTGGTGGTGTTGTACCAGTGGTGGTGTTGTAAGCAGTGGTGTTGTACCAGTTACCAGTGGTGTTGTTGTACCAGAGGTGTTGTTGTACCAGTGGTGGTGTTGTACCAGTGGTGGTGTTGTATCAGTGGTGTTGTACCAGTGGTGTTATTGTACCAGTGGTTTTGTTGAACCAATGGTGGTGTTGTACCAGTGGTGGTTTTGTAAGCAGTGTTGTACCAGTGGTGTTGTTGCAGTGTTGTTGTTGTACCAGTGGTGTTGTTGTATCATTGGTGTTGTTGTACCATTGGTGTTGTACCAGTGGTGGTGTTGTACCAGTGGTGTTGTTGTACCATTGGTGTTGTACGAGTGGTGGTGTTGTACCAGTGGTGTTGTTGTACCAGTGTTGGTGTTGTACCAGTGGTGTTGTTGTACCATTGGTGTTGTACGAGTGGTGGTGTTGTACCAGTGGTGGTGTTGTACCAGTGGTGGTGTTGTACCAGTGGTGGTGTTGTACCATTGGTGTTGTTGTACCAGTGGTGTTGTACCAGTGGTGTTGTTGTACCAGTGGTGGTGTTGTACCAGTGGTGTTGTACCAGTAGTGTTGTTGTACCAGTGGTGTTGTTGTACCATTGGTGTTGTACCAGTGGTGTTGTTGTACCAGTGTTGTTGTACTAGTGGTGTTGTTGTACCAGTGGTGTTGTTGTACCAGTGGTGGTGTTGTACCAGTGGTGTTGTACCAGTAGTGTTGTTGTACCAGTGGTGTTGTTGTACCATTGGTGTTGTACCAGTGGTGTTGTTGTACCAGTGGTGTTCTTGTACCATTGGTGTTGTTGTACCAGTGGTGGTGTTGTACCAGTGATGTTGTTGTACCAGTGGTGTTGGTGTACAATTGGTGTTGTACCAGTGGTGTTGGTGTACAATTGGTGTTGTACCAGTGGTGTTGTTGTACCAGTGGTGTTGTATCAGTACCATCAGCTGTAGGTTTGAGGTGAGGTTCAGTAGCAATATTTCCCCTCACAGTTTCTTTACATTTCACGAACCTAATGTGTTTAAACGCTGTGTGAACACTTGCGTTAGTTTACACCACTATGTAAACGTCGACAGATGGGGAACAGCTGCAATTAAGCAGCTTGTTCATCTGAAGTGTGGTGTTATATGGGGGAGCAGTTGTGTTCACTGTGGGCGAGGGAGGCGGTGACCTGGTACTCCTCTCACTCTTTATGGCAACACTCACACTTATGGCAACACTCACACTTATGGCAACACTCACACGTATGGCAACACTCACACGTATGGCAACACTCACACTTATGGCAACACCCACACTTATGGCAACACTCACACTTATGGCAACACTCACACTTATGGCAACACTCACACTTATGGCAACACCCACACTTATGGCAACACTCATACTTATGGCAACACTCACACTTATGGCAACACTCACACTTATGGCAACACTCACACTTATGGCAACACTCACACGTATGGCAACACTCACACGTATGGCAACACTCACACTTATGGCAACACTCACACTTATGGCAACACTCACACTTATGGCAACACTCACACTTATGGCAACACTCACACTTATGGCAACACCCACACTTATGGCAACACTCATACTTATGGCAACACTCACACTTATGGCAACACTCACACGTATGGCAACACTCACACTTATGGCAACACTCACACTTATGGCAACACCCACACTTATGGCAACACTCACACGTATGGCAACACTCACACTTATGGCAACACTCACACTTATGGCAACACTCACACGTATGGCAACTCTCACACTTATGGCAACACTCACACTTATGGCAACACTCACACTTATGGCAACACTCACACGTATGGCAACACTCACACTTATGGCAACACTCACACTTATGGCAACACTCACACGTATGGCAACACTCACACTTATGGCAACACTCACACTTATGGCAACACTCACACTTATGGCAACACTCACACTTATGGCAACACCCACACTTATGGCAACACTCACACTTATGGCAACACTCACACTTATGGCAACACTCACACTTATGGCAACACTCACACTTATGGCAACACTCACACTTATGGCAACACTCACACGTATGGCAACTCTCACACTTATGGCAACATTCACACTTGACACACTTCAAATAGTGTCTTGCCTTTTATACACATTCATATGTGCCGTTTACACCACCATTCAGGGCCACATATGTAAAACAACTGCTATTAAGCAGCGTGTTGTTGCTGTTCCTGGGACGACGACCATCGTGGGATCGGATGCGTCCCGGTGCACCTGTTAAGGGTGAATCGCGAGGCCATGAAAGGTGAAACGCCGAGCCTAATCGCGAAACGAGTGACGCCAATCACAGGAAACTAAGAAGCCTCGCGGCATAGAAACGCAGACAGGCAGATGATTGGGGAGGAGTCCCCCAGGGTGTCAAGCACCGGCCCCGCCCCACACACTGAACACTGGGGAGCAAAACCAAAAAACTCGGCCCCAGCTAAAACGCAAAAGTCACCCGGTGTCCCCCGGCTGAGCAGAAGCCGCCCGCCCACCACGGCTGAGGGCACACACCAGGAGCCCACCACGGCTGAGGGCACACCAGGAGCCCACCACGGCTGAGGGCACACACCAGGAGCCCACCACGGCTGAGGACACACACCAGGAGCCCACCACGGCTGAGGGCACACCAGGAGCCTACCACGGCTGAGGGCACACCAGGAGCCTACCACGGCTGAGGGCACACACCAGGAGCCCACCACGGCTGAGGGCACACCAGGAGCCCACCACGGCTGAGGGCACACCAGGAGCCCACCACGGCTGAGGGCACACCAGGAGCCCACCACGGCTGAGGGCACACACCAGGAGCCCACCACGGCTGAGGGCACACACCAGGAGCCCACCACGGCTGAGGGCACACCAGGAGCCCACCACGGCTGAGGGCACACACCAGGAGCCCACCACGGCTGAGGGCACACCAGGAGCCCACCACGGCTGAGGGCACACCAGGAGCCCACCACGGCTGAGGACACACACCAGGAGCCAACCACGGCTGAGGGCACACACCAGGAGCCAACCACGGCTGAGGGTACACCAGGAGCCCACCACGGCTGAGGGTACACCAGGAGCCCACCACGGCTGAGGGCACACCAGGAGCCCACCACGGCTGAGGGCACACCAGGAGCCCACCACGGCTGAGGGCACACCAGGAGCCCACCACGGCTGAGGACACACACCAGGAGCCAACCACGGCTGAGGGCACACACCAGGAGCCAACCACGGCTGAGGGTACACACCAGGAGCCAACCACGGCTGAGGGTACACACCAGGAGCCCACCAAGACCCACCAACCCCCGGCACCTCTGAGCCAAGCCGGCCCCCGAACACCGTCACCCCGCCGGGAGAACCAGTCAGAACACGTCAAAAAAATCTATCAACAATCCCGTGACCCAAGGCGGTATGTGCCTCAGGTGTCGTGCAACAGTACCGTTGAACAGGGACGCCAAACAGCAGTACCAAATCCAAAACAGCAAAACAAAACATGAACTGCGGCTCCCAGGCGGAGGAGGCGTCCAGACGCCCGCTCGGCGACAAGGTAGAAACACGAGCTTAAGCAACTTCGTGACGGAGCTCGGCGCCATCTACGGTCCTGGTGCCGAACTAAAACAGTTGACTCTCATTAAGCGTAGTTTCCCATCTGCTAGTCTGCTGTGCTAGGAGGTGACAAGCTGCTAGGGACGGGCGGTGGAAGTCAGGGAAGCAGGGAAAGTTAAGTACTTTGGTCGACTTTGAGACAAGGTAGCCAGTGGGGGCTAGTTGAGCGCCGTGGACTTCTCTATGGGAAGGTGCTAGTCAGTGGGGCTAGTTGAGCGCCGTGGACTTCTCTATGGGAAGGTGCTAGTCAGTGTGGCTAGTTGAGCGCTGTGGACTTCACTATGGGAAGGTGCTAGCCAGTGAGGCTAGTTGAGCGCCGTGGACTTCACTATTGGAAGGTGCTAGTCAGTGGGGCTAGTTGAGCGCCGTGGACTTCACTATTGGAAGGTGCTAGTCAGTGGGGCTAGTTGAGCGCCGTGAACTTCACTATTGGAAGGTGCTAGTCAGTGGGGCTAGTTGAGCGCCGTGGACTTCACTATTGGAAGGTGCTAGCCAGTGGGGCTAGTTGAGCGCCGTGGACTTCACTATTGGAAGGTGCTAGTCAGTGGGGCTAGTTGAGCGCCGTGGACTTCACTGGTTGAGCGTACTAGCGAGTACACTAAGGAATGGGAGCGCTTGAAGACATCACCATAACTGCAGCTAGTGTGAGGGCTAGTGATGCTCTCGATGACCACTCATACACAACTGTAAATAGTAGTGTTGATGGGTAATGAGAGCGGTTAATTCTAAGTGCTATTTTATTACGCACCTTAAACATCACACTACTTTCATCAAGGGTTAGGGACCTCTGAACTCGAGTAGGAGCGAAGAGTTTTTAAAAGAACCCGATTACGGAAGGGTTCGTAACAAGCTTGTACATCATGGCGTGCTGTGTGCCTGAGGAGTCAATGTTTACCCGGGCGTCAGCGTCAGGGGCGAGATTCACGAAAGCACTTACGCAAGCACTTACGACCCTGTACATCTTTTCTCAATCTTTGGCGGCTTTGTTTACAATTATTAAACAGTTAATGAGCTCCGAAGCACCAGGAGGCTGTTTATAACAATAACAACAGTTGATTGGCAAGTTTTCATGCTTGTAAACTGTTTAATATATGTAACCAAAGCCGTCAAAGATTGAGGAAAGATGTACACGTTCGTAAGTACTTTCGTGAATCTGGCCCCTGGACACTCATGCGATCCACTCCCAGGGCGGGTATAGATACCCTACCTGCTTTTAAGGGTCCGTTTATTCTATCGTTAACCAAACGTATTTGGTTAAACAATTATTTATTAAGTAAATGCATTTATTTTGGAGTATTACAAGCATATGCTTATAGTAATAGACATTATATATCCCGGGATAGATTACATATCCTGGTACATATGCTTTCATAGCCCGTGTTACTTAAACATGTTATACTCTAATACTGGTAGAAATTTTCCACAGATGTGGTGTGGTGGTCACGGTATTGTGTACGTATAGGGGTGATCCTGGACATCGTGGGTTCGAATCCTGGTCAGGTGATTTAGGGTTCTTAGTGATCTTTGCATGAGGGATGAAGGTGGGTGGTGGCGAGGCGGCCTGCAGGAGGTGATTAGTGATGGGCAGTGGATGGTAATTGTGTTTACGAAACCTGTTCATCTTTCCATAATCCTGGCGGCCTTGTTTTCATTTATTAAACAATTTCAAGCTTGGAAACGACACATTCCAAGGATGTTATTATTATTTACAACCTCGTAGCCGTTCGTAGCATATAAACTACTAAGTAAATATAAACAAAGCCGGCAGGATTGAGGGAAAGATGTACAGGTTTCTTAATTAGTTGAGTAAATTCTTCACGAATCTTGAGGATGATGAATGTTACCAGACCAGTACCAGAGGCGAGAGGCATGAGACTAAAGGACGTCAACCTCACAGGAAGAGATAAGATACATACAAGAGGACACAATCGGTACACATACGTCACAAGAGGACACAGGCGGTACACATACAAGAGGACACAGGCGGTACACATACAAGAGGACACAGGCGGTACACATACAAGAGGACACAGGCGGTACACATACAAGAGGACACAGGCGGTACACATACAAGAGGACACAGGCGGTACACATACAAGAGGACACAGGCGGTACACATACAAGAGGACACAGGCGGTACACATACAAGAGGACACAGGTCGAACCGAAGAACACACAAATAAACCCCCAAATCATTCGATATAATAATTTCTGAAAGACCTGAAATATAAATTCATCAAATGCAATAGGCACAAGGCGGGTCCCCGGAACTTGAGTCCGCTAACCTTAGGCAGTGAGAAGTAAGCTCAGTTAGGGAAGCCAAAACATACATTGCTGGTCACGTTCGAGGTTCAATCAGGCGTGTTTGTTGTGGTACAGCACCTTCACGATTGGTGGGAGGACCAGACCTGTGGGAACTGGTCTAGGATGACCTCAGATGACCTGAGGTGACTTGGGATGACCTCAGATGACCTGAGGTGACTTGGGATGACCTCAGATGACCTGAGGTGACCAGAGGTGACTTGGGATGACCTGACGTTTCCTGAGAAGACTTAAGGGTGACCTAGATGAGTTTAGGTGACCTGGATGAACTTTGGTGTCCTCGTTGAGTATGGTTTCATCCTATTCATGGATGAATTTTGGTGATCTGGAGTGACCTTTAGGTGACCTTTAGGTGACCTTCAGTGACTTGTGTCAAGAAAGAACTAGGTGTCTTGAAGACGGCCCAGTACGACCTCAGACAAAGGAAATGAGTCGACCTGGAAATCGTGCATAATTTGGATAACTAGGGTTGACCTCAGGCACCAATTAAGGAGAACCAGGTGTATATCTTAGCAACCATGGATGACCTGGAATTCCAAGGGAGTATCCTAGCAACCAAAGAACCAGGGAGTACTAGGGTTGTTGACCAGACCACACACTAGCAAGTGAAGGGACGACGACATTTGGGTCCGTCCTGGACCATTCTCAAGTCGATTGCGAGAATGGAATGAACACAATCGACTTGAGAATGGTCCACGACGGACCGAAACGTCGTCGTCGTCGTCTCTTCACTTTCTAGTGTGTGGTTTGGTCAACATACTTCAGCCAACGTTATTGTGACTCCTCGTCTGCAATATTAAGGTTGCATCCTAGCAACAAGGAGCACCACTGCTCTTCAACACTAACATAGCCAGAGGGGGAAGTGAGTACACGGTAGCAGGAGTTGGGTTGCGTGCACTGTGAGGGGGTGAGGTGTAGTGAGGTGTTGATACACAGTCGATGTCATCTGGGGCAGCGAGTGAGGTGTGAGGCGGAACCTCAGTCGTGGTGGAGAGTTGAGTAACCCCAAGTGAATCCCGCAAAACACACACCGAAACTACGCCGTTGGTACAACGTTCGAACAAGTTTTAACCTCTCCTAACCAGTTATAACAACCATTATAGCAAGTTGTAACAACGTTCTAATACGTCATAAACACGTTAAGCCAAGATGTAACAACTTTATTACAAGTTGTAACAAGCGGAAAATAGAGACAGTTTCGGTTTGTGTTTCCAGGGAAACTTGCGCTTGATAGTTGCATGAGTGTTTAGTGTGTAGTGCTTCTGCTATGTCTAATCTTCTTTGTCCCTCTGCCGCTGTAGATGATAAAGTGAGCTTCAGCGG